TAAATAAAGATCATAACCTAGGGGGCCCTATGGGACAGTTCTGCTGTGTCGTATAAATAAAGATGATAACCTAGGGGGCCCTATGGGACAGTTCCGCTCTGTCGTGTAGAGTCACTATGAGTTGGAACAACAACGACGTAGATCTATATGGAGTCCCTGTGTGGTGCGAACGGTTCACATGCTCAGCTGCTAACCGAAAGGATGGAAGTTCAGGTGTGCCCAGAGACACCTCAGAAGAAATACCTGGCAATTGACTTCTAAAAGTTGGCCACTGAAAACACTACAGAGCATAGTTCTACTCTGACACTCATGAGTAGCCAAGAGTCAGGATTGACTCGAGGGCAACTGGTACTGGTTTATAGATCTATATGCTTGTTATTGAAATGAATTATTTGGACTTTACTGTGTATCTATACATTATCAGTATGACATAATGAAGCAAGGAGAGACAAAGCAAGTTTTTTAAGTTGAACTTGATAATCATTTCGCCTCCAAAGTGGAAAGATTTGTCTCTGGCAGTTACATTAAATTATTAAGTCACTATTCCATGCCAATCAGCATCTCCAAAGATGCCTTCCATTTCTTAAACGTCTCTTATTTTCCATTCTCTTCTTGGAGAACTTGCTTCATTAAGTAAATTCAAGATAAGCTGAGGGAGAGAGAGAGACGAGACTGCTCTTTTCTTTTTCCTTCTCTCTACCAGCCAGCTGACTGCAAGTGACTTAAACAGTGCTTTGTGCCATCTTGATAGGGACACCCAGTAAACCAGCTTTCAGCACCTGGGGCCTAGGTTCGCAGAGTCAACCTAGAGCTCTCATTATTTCTTCATGGTCTCAAAGGGCAATTTAAGGGTAGAATTGCTTGTCATCCATGCTGAAAATGTGTGTCATTTCTTTACCCTGTATGTACCAATTTAGAAAATGAGCAAAACGGGAAATTTTATACACACACGCATTATGGGTATGAAGTACTATACCTCTCTGGAGCCTTGGTGGTGTAGTGGTTAAGCGTTCGTCTGCTAACCAAAAGGTTGGCAGTTCAAATACACCAGCTGCTCCTTAGAAACCTTACGGGACAGTTCTACTCTCTCCTGTAGGGTCGCCATGAGTTGGAATCGACTCGATGGCAGTGGATTCGGTTTTGGGTTTTGGTATACCTCTCTGCCAACACCCACTGGAGCCTGATCTTCTTACCTAAGAAATATAATTTTTTAGGTTCTCCTGTGGACTCTCAGCCAGCAACACAGTTACAGCAAAAAGATTCTTCTCAGACCTTAGAGCCCAAACGGCCTCCTCCTCCCCGCCCAGTTGCTCCTCCCACGCGTCCAGCTCCCCCACAGAGACCACCTCCACCGTCAGGTAACAGACCATTTTACATCCATTTCTGCTAGACTTAAAGTTCTCCTCCACCCCACTTACAAATGTTCTGCGTGTTTCCACATATCCAGCTACTAGATTTGATGCCTTTGTATCGTTGTTGCTACTTCTTCAGCTTTATAGAACGTGTCGGCTCTCGGCCTGACAGAACAGGTAAAAGAGTGCTGTCTGTCAACCGGATTTCTCTAACGTGTTTCCACAGCTGCTTTCTTACAAGTGCACATGAGGTGCTTGGCTTTGTTTTTGCCAAGTTGATGTAGTTGGACGTGTGAATTATTCCCCAAAATCCTCACTTCTGGGTTTTATAAGCACAAAATCACTAGTTTACTAATTTCTATAAAATTTGTAATTAGAATGAAGAACGTAAATATACTTATTTAATATGAAGTAAAATTTTATATATTCATGTAAATGTTTTTAAACAAGTATAACGTTATGACTTAAATTATTAGAAGTATATACATCAAAAAATATATATTTTATAATATCTGGATACTACTTTGTACTTCCTACATAACATTTGAAATAATGTATGCTGCAGTCAATCTTTGACATCTCAATTCTTCGTTTAATGTCATTTCCTTTCTGCTGCGTGTTTTCTTGTGAACTCTTAAGGGGCTAGAAGTCCTGCACCTGCTAGAAAAGAATTTGGAGGTAACCATTTACATTTGTTATAACGTATAGATGGCAGTTCGTTCATGTTTTGGAGTGTGGTCCCTATAGCTGCAGTGTACTTTAGGCCTGTTTGCTGGAAATCAGCATGAATGACATTTATGCTCCAGGTGAAAAATAGCTCCTGTCAGGTAAAAGATTAGGGCTTCGTTTCAGTAGTGAATAGGACTAGTCTGTGAGGGCTTGTGTTTTGCAGGTAAACATAGTT